ATTTCATAAAAATGCTTATTCTAGTTTTGTGCCCTTAGAATATGTAGAAAAGAGATGGAAAAAATCATCAAGAAGATTACAATTTCATTTTTGGGTAGAGAAATGATGAGACATTCAAATTCTATTCTTTCTGTTTATCTAGAATTGCTACTTTTTCTGTGTGGATCCTTATTGTTTACAAGCTAAAAGTATTAATAAGTAAAAATCGCCTTTAATCCCAGCACTTGGGAGGCAGAGGCAGGCGAACTTCTGAGTTCGAGGCCAGCCTGGTCTACAGAGTGAGTTCCAAGACAGCCAGGGCTACACAGAGAAACCCTGTCTTGAAAAAAATAAAAAACAAAACAAAACAAAAGAAATGTTATTTTTATTACAGTAGTAAAATAACATGAAATTTAAAAATATTTTAAAATATTATATACCGTGTGTTCTTTCAGAAATAAGAAAGCTTCTCCTTTTTTTCACTTGTACTTGAACCCAGGCCCTTGTGTGTGCTAGACAAGCACTCTGCCTCCAAGGAATCCTGGCCCTAAGAAAGCTATGTTTAAAAGACATCTAAAGCAAGGAACGCTAGAGGAATCACGCAACATCCAACAAGTCTGGGCTTGTACCGTAAGTTCACTAGATGGTCCTCATGGTTTCTTCTGTTCAGATGAAACTCCTTGGGGTACACCAACATGAAGGCAAATAGAACCATCAGGACCTCTACAGAGTCCTTGCCTCAATCTATGAAGTCACTGTTGAACACGTATGCTCTCTCTGATGATGGTAGACCGTTCTTCTGACAGATGATCAGTCCACAAAGAGGCAGTGGAGGAGGGGAGAGAACATTAGGTTAAAGGCAGCAGGCATCTGACTGTTAAGTCAGAGCCATAGCCAATCCTGTGATCTGTGGGTTCCTCTACACAGGAAATATCAGCAAAAAGGGAAATGTTTTCCATTGTCTTATATTTCCTTTCCAAAGATGCAGAAGTTAGGAGATGCTCAGCAAATCTGGCATCTGATGCAGAGACACAGCCATGTGGTGTGAACCAAAGGGCACTGAGCTTGTATCATGGAAGCCACTTCTAAGTTCCAGGTTCATATTGGCAATAACAATAATAGTGTAGAGTGAAAAATTATAGATACTGGGTATATAGAATCCTTTTTAGACATATAAAATATTCTTTAGGCTTTCTTTATAAGGACATGGAAAATTTTCTGAGAAACTGAGCCATGAAGCAAGTTAGGAATGTGGAAAGACCAGTCACCATTACTGGAACTGGCCTATCTGCAAAGAGAAAGGAAAGAATGCAAGTGAACTAGGTGGAACCAAGCTGAGAACCAAGTTGAGAACAAAGCTGGGAACCACAGTGACAGGGCAAGGCCGAAGTAACAGGGCAGGACCACATTCTTGAGAAAGATAAGCAGACAGAGAGCTTTCACCTGACCCTGACTCATGTAGGTTGGGTTCCTTTGGAATGTTCCACTATTTTTATGTTATGCCACCTCAACAACCCCTCATTCCCCTTCCCATTCCTTGGTTTGTGGTTTTTCCCCTTAAAAACCCTTCTCAAACTGGCTGTCGGGGTCAATTCAGCAGCTAGTTGTCACGCCCTAATAAACCTCGCAATTGCTCTGGTACACGGTGTCTCGAGCAGATTACTGGGAGGCTGCGACTTTCTGAGACTTGAGTGAGGGTCTCCCCTCTGCGGAGGTCTTCAATAGTTGTAATGACTGCCATGAACTCATGGGGATTAAATAAGGTAAGACCAGGCTGAGCCTGATAGCACACATCTGTAAACCCAGCACTTGGAAGATGGAGGCAGGAAGGGTCAGGGGTTCAAAGCCAGTCTGGACTACATAGTGAGTTAGAAGGAGGCTGTTCTTGTCTACATGAGCCCTTATTCCAAAAAACTTTCCAAAAAGGAGAACGTGTGTGTGTGTGTGTGTGTGTGTGTGTGTGTGTGTGTGTGAATGTGTCTGTGTCTGTGTGTAAATAATTTGGAAATATAGTACACATACAAAGTAGTAGTATTGTACTATTGTACTAATAAAATATTGTATACATACTTTGTTTTATGTTCTACTTATAGCTAAAGTGAATATAAAAAACAAAGTTTGGATGCCTCCATAATAATCTTCTCTATTTGGAAAAAATAGAAAATCAACTGCTAAATGTTGGTTCCCCCTGCTCATCAAGCCAACATTTGGATTTGCCTACGATTTACAAAAATAAACCAGAGTAGAAAGCAAAGCTGATTCTAGATCATGTATTGCTGTGAGACACACATATAGAAACCCAAGCAATTGGGCCTGGAGAGATGGCTCAGCAGTTAAAAGCACTGGCTGCTGTCTTGCAGACAACACAGGTTTGATTCCCAACACCCACACGGAGGCTCACAATCATCTGTAACTCTAGTTCTAGGGGATGCAACATCTCTGATGGCTTCCATGCACAGTGGGCATGTGGCATACAGAAATATACGCAGGAAAGCAAAACAAAAGTATAAGATAAAAATAAATCTTTTTTGTAAGTCCAAGCAATGGTTAGGCATTTGTGTAATGGAGAGTATTTCTTACGATACTTATATACTTATAGTGGAGTCACTATGAATTGCTTCTCTGAGCCATGTCTCCTTTAAATAAATGTGTGAGGAATATGGAAACAGTCGGCTAAAAGGGAGCCGATCTGAACTTTTAAATTAAGCCTCCGAACAAGAAAGTAACTTAAATTGGATGTTCATACCTTATAAAATATAAACATTAAGTCATCCATCTGGCCATGTAGATCTCCTAACAGAGAAAAGAATATTAGCTCATACTGATCTATACTTGAACAAAATATCTATGCCTGGAAGAATGGGGCAAGGCTTGAAAGGAACAGTTATTAGTTTAGGGAGAATCGTTTCGATCTCACCTAGTTGCAGATGTAGTTAGTACTGAAAAGCAGAAAACACTGGGATTTTTAAAAAAATGATTATCACAAGTAGTCAGTTAGCTACATTGTTAACTGCTGCAAAGACTGGGCAGTATAACACAGGGCAGTAATGGGAAGAGAGCTGGGAAGTTCACCCTCCCTAAGTTAGAAGTTGTCACTCACTTGTGGACTAGTGTTGGGAGATAGTTCAAGAGAACTTACAAAATCTAATAAGAAATCTCCTTTTCACACATTGAAACAATGATTTCTAAGTTTCAGATGCTTAAGGGTGAGCAAGGCATGCCGCTGGACCAGTTCACACCCCCTCCTCGTGTGCATCTCCCTCAGCTGGGGAGTGGGCTTCCGTCCACACGGATGCTACTGAGCAAATGGAGAAGGTCGGCCACTATGGTTCTCTATGTGACAGGCATGTGTAGGGGTGGAAATAAAAACTCTGTAAGCCTTGAAATTTGCTCAAGTACCAAGAAATAAAATGTCAAAAGGCTGGGGTATCTTTTTGTGTGTGTTGTTGTTGTTGACTGTTGTGGTGATTCTATTCTCAGTATGGAATGTGAACTTGGAGTCACTATGAATTGCTTCTCTGAGCCATGTCTCCTTTAAATAAATGTGTGACTGTGAGAAAACAGTCGGCTGAAAGGGAGCCGATCTGACCTGTTCATCTACCAGCATGTCTTCCTCTGGCTCAGCTTCTCCTCCTGGCCCCTTTCTGTGGCAGGGTTTTCTGATTTGTGTCTACCCAGGAAGGCAGCTCCCACCAGCACTTACAGCACACTGTGACCTCCTCGCTGTAGCAGGTGGAGACTCGGTTGATGTTGGGCAGCTGGGCCAGGTGTTTTCTGGTCTCATACAAAAGAGTAAAGACAGCGAGCATTGAGCTGCTACCAGCAGGAAGGGGTGGGATGCCATAAAGTAACAGGAATGGCCCTGCTTCTGCTGGCAAACGTCCAGCTACCCCAGACCCCAAAAGGAACCCAGTAAACTGTAGATCCTCTTCGTGCAACTCTGCTTTCGCCTGACTTATCTTCCCTCCTCTTTCCTGTCTAATCTACAGAGTTTTTCTTTGCCCTCAGGAAGCAGTGTATGACTGTAGTAGTAGCAATGTATGAATTTGTGCACATCCATTGATGGTGTGGACTAATCCTGCCATTACTGAGAGACAGCCAACCCCTACACTGCTTTCATCTTGTCAGAGAGAGGAAGGACCATGATCTACGTACCTCACAGAACTGAACAACTTCTCACCAGGTCTACACTGGCCATTGGGGGGTTTTAAGCCAACACAGTGTTTTGCTTGGACTATTGTCTACTGACAGGTCTCTCTGCTTCTCTTCCACGCTCACTGGTATTCCAGTCTCAACTTGGCAAGAACTTAATAAGTGCTATTAATAATAAGTTTATTATTAGTCCAGATAGGTTCTCATTAGGAATCCCTGACTCTCCTGAAACTCACTATCTAGACTCAGCTAACCTTGATCTCAGAGTGATCTGCCTGCCTCTGCCTCTCAAATACTGAGATTAAAGGTGTGTGCCACTAGGGTCTGATGCACAGTGACTGTTTTAAAGAGTGAGCCTAAGTATCATTCCTGTGTTTCTGCCCTAGCATCTCTTACTTATTTCCTGGATTCCTCTTTACTAATCACAGTGACCTTTCTGAGGTCCCTGGAGAATCCACGGAGTTCCTGCCTCTGTACCTTTGCACTTGCTCGTCTATCTCAAACACTCTGTTTCCAGATATCGCATCTCTCAGCACCCTGACCTTTGCTCAGACATCTTCCTTTGCTCAGACTGCCTCCTCTCCTGGCCTCTCTTTCATAGCTCCCATCAGTTTCTGTGCTACTGCTTACTGATCCTTTAGTTTATTACTTCCTACACTGCTAACATGTCAGCTGCACGAGGGCAGTGGCAGCCCCCCATACCTAGATCCATGTGAGCCCCCCCAGCCTTCCTCACCAGCTACCTGCAGGCTGAGCGAACAAAACCACAAAGGTTACCCTCTTAGAAGCTGGCTGCTGGACCCTGGCTATATTTCCCAGCAGGTTTGGTCTACAAGTTGGTGGGGACCCACATCCTCACTTAAGCTTACTTGTCTCAGCCTGAAAGCTTCCACCAGGGCAGTGGCGTGGTCAGGAAGAAGTGGGAAGGAGAGACATGGCCCTGTGTAGCTGTCGGACACCTCTATGGATTCAAAATATCCACCCTCCTCTGTCTCCACATCCTGGGCGAATCTCTCCTCAGTGAACATGCGGTTCAGGAAGTCTCCTAGTTCAGCACAGAGGGTAAAAGCAGGCCAGCTTAGGAACAGACCTTGAGGGATCGTTAGTGCTGTGGGACCCTGCCAGTTGAGCTCTGGCTCCAGCCCAGGATATGATAAATTGAAGTTGATGAGGCGGGGGCGCAGGAGGAAGGTTATGTTTCTGTGTCTGTGCAATCATTAGTTGGTCTACATTTACTTTTTTAAAAATCACCAGAAGTAGGAGAAGGAGGGGTAATATCTCTGCTGTTAGGAGTGCTTGCTAATCTTCCAGAAGACCTGAGTTAGATTCTTGCGCCCATATCTGGTATCTCACGGTGACCTCTAACTCCAGCTCCCCAGGGATCTGAGGCCCTCTTCTGGCCTCCTTAGATACTGGCATTCACATGTGCATACACACTTTTACACATGATTTAAAATAAATATTTTTTTTAAAAAATCAAAATATTGATCAGAGGACATCCCCAAATGCAGAGGCCTGTTGAAGGCAGAAGGAAGAGCAGGGTAAAGCCAGTGAGGAAAGGATTCTCGGCCATTCACCTTGTTCAGTGGGCACAGCAGAGGCTCGGACCATCTCCAGCATGGCAGGCTCCTCTACCTGCCAGGCTTTAAAGGTCCAGGCCAAGGGTTTCCCTCCCCAACTGCAGGGGATCATGGGTAGCAGAACCAGAAAGGCCACAGAGTCAACCCCCCTTCCATCTGGCTCACTAGGATGGCTTCAACCAGGATCTTCCAAGCAGATGTTTCCCCAAGGTCCTGGTACCTGGATGTTCACTCTTCACTATTTCGCAGCCCTTCTGAGTTGCTGGCTAGCATCTCTCTCCACCCCTTTCATTTCTCTCCACTTCCTTCTACCTCCAGCGTTTCTTAGTAAAACCAACTCCATGCTTGTAAACTCTTGTCTCCAGGGATGTTTACAGGAGAGCCACAGGCTAAAAGTTTACTCGGCCATTCATTTGACAACCTTGCCACTTAAACTCTCCGCAGATTCCCAGTTACACTCCCGCAGAAACATCGAAAGTACAGTATTAAGCCAAGATAGCATAGCGTGGGAACTCATACTCACTCTCGTGGAGGCTACTGGGAGTAAAGTGGTCCACAAGGCAGCTGAAGAATTCATGGAGCTGTGGAAGAACCAGACAAGGCAAGCTTTAAAAACAAAGGAGCGGTCCCATCCGCTGCACCTTCCAACACCAGGTCCCACCACCCCACCCCCACCCCCTGCGGTCATCGCCACATACCTTGACCTGATCTTGCTGTCCAGCATACTCTATAGACTGGAAGATGTTCCAGGTACATCGCCACCTCATCTCCAGGCGGGCCATGTAGCGCCGGTACCATCGCTGGATCAAGGCCTTGAAGGCTGTAACACAGATGAAGATACAAGCCTAAATGAGCAAGGACTCCCAGAGATGGGGGCTGGAAGCATGAAGTAGGGGTGTGTGTGTGTGTGTGGTATTTCCACAATGTAACAGCAGTATTATGAATATCAAGACATTGGGTTCCTCTGAACTGTCCTGCCAAACTATGTGGCTTCAACAAATCAGCTTATGCCTCAGCATCTTTATCTGGACCAGGAATTAAACTCAGTGGAGAACAGGTACTCTTTTTATGCCACACAAGTGATGAGTGTTTCCTAGTGAGTTCCAGGACAGCCTGAGACCCTGCTGTTAATAATAATAATAATTACTATTATTATTATTATTATTTGTCCTGTAAAGGGTTTGGTCACATCTATGCAAAAGTAGATAAAATAAATTAATTTCTTTCCACTCTTCATTTTATTTTTTCACAGAAGCCAGGAGGGTGTTCTGAAGAGATTAAAATACTGTTATACACCAGGCAGTGTTCACGCATACCTTTAATCCCAGCACTTGGGAGGCAGAGGCAGGCAGATTTCTCAGCGACCACAGTGGTGGCTCATGGCCATCTATTCTGGGATGGGATGCCCCATTGTGTCATATGGACAAACATACAGTTAGAGTGCTCATAGACATTAAATAAATAAATAAATAAATAAGACCCCAAACAAACAAAATCCTGTAAGGTTTGGCTTCCGCCAGCCTCCACAGCCCAGTCCCTTCAATTCTCCGCCTTGTTCTCGTCAGACCTATGAGTCCCAATCCCTTTGAGGGTCGAAAGATTCCTTTCACAGGGATCACCTAGGGCCATCAGAAAACATAGATATTTACATCACAATTCATAACAGTAGCAAAACTAGAGCTACGAAGTAGCAACGAAATAATTTTATGGTTGTGGGTCGCCACATTATGAGGAACAGCATTAAAAGGTCGCAGCGTTGGGAAGGTTGAGAACCGCTGGTCTATCCAGGTGGTAACTCCATGAGTGGGGGTTAGCTCTTTGTCCCTGCTGACCCTGGCACACGGTGGCACACAGCATTCTTCTCTTCCCTCTTTGTCCATCATTTTATCCGCTTGTGCGCAGACGGGATAAACCCGGAGACAACAGCGACTACTGGAGACGTTTTAACTCTCAACTCAGATGGTCGGCTGAGCACTGTGGTAGTCACTGCCAGGGCAACCCAGTTCTGCGAGGCGGCTTGAGAACGAATGATGGCTTTCTACTTTCATCCTAAGGGGTTCCAACCTACGCAACAAGGGCTTCGGATACCAAAGCTAGCTCTGAAGTGGGAAAGCACATACCTTTCTCAGCGTTCTGAAACGCAAAGTGGTGCTGGGTGGATGAACTACTTCCCATGGTCGGGGGGCAGAGCTCCTGCAGGACATGGACGATGGACCCAGGACGAGGAAAGGGAGGTGTTTGCTGACAAGAGGAAGGGGTATTGTCAGCGAGAGGTTCACACACAGCATCAGTTCAGGTGAAGCAACTGTCTGTGAGCCCCACGAGATCATCCCCCTCCTCCCTGTTTATCCCCTGAGAATTCCCTCCCGTGTTGACGCTCCGATGTCTTTTCCTCTGTGTGAACCAGAAACATACCGGTAGCTTTCGTGGCTTCAAAGCTGCTTTTCATAATCTCCGCCACCTTTAAGCTGCTACCAAACCACTACTCTCCCTTTCTGCTTCTCACCAGAGCAGATGGCATGTTTTCTTCTTGGCTACTATTTGCTTCATGGCGCAGGGATTAAACTCGGGACCTGGCATATATTAGACACATGCTCTACTGCTGAACCACATCCACAGGCCCTTTTCACTTTGCTTTGAGACAGGATCGCACGTAGTCCAGGCTAACCTCAAGCTTACCGTGTAACTGAGGATAACCTTGAACCTCTGACTGTCCTTTCTCTACTATCTGAGTGCTGATGGCAGACAGGCATGCACCACTGATGCCTGTTTAAGTGGTGGTGAGATCACACTGGGGGCCTCGGGCATGCTAGTGTGGTGCTCTACCACCTGAGCTACATCCTAAACCTCTTTTCATGGTCATTTTCAAAATGCTAACTATCCCAGGCTGGCCTCATTGGGAGCCTCTTGTATCAGTCTCCAAAATAGCTGGGATTACAGGTCTATGCCACCCATACCTGACTTCTTAGATGCTCCCAGAAATACAATTTTCATCTTCATTATTGATCGAAACATTTCATGCTGATGTCTCCAACAGCTTCAACTTTTTAGTAGGTACCTTGTAGGAATAGTGAAGCCCCTCTGTCTTTTCAGGTCCCACCTGAATTACAGTGCTGTGCCTTGGGGGTCTCAGATGCTGGCCCATGTTGTGCTTGTTCCCACCTCTCTAGGTTCTCTTGTGCTTGTTTCTCCCTGTCTTTCAAATGCCAGTGTGTGCATGTGTGCATATATATGTGTGTGTGTATTCATGCATTCTCCATGCTTCTATGCATGTGTGTATGTATGTATGTGAGAGAGAGAGAGCAAGCACACATGCACTCACATATGTATGTGTGTATTCTAGTCCCAAATCTCTCCTCTTTTACTTAGTGGTTTAATCAGCTCTTACACACTCAACCCTTACTTCCCAGCTCTCAGATCTACACGTCTTTTCTAGATTATCACTAAACTCCAGTCTATACACCTGACTTTGTGCTAAGCAACTACCCTGGGGTGTTTTGGTGTATAGAGTGGAGTTTCATGATAACCTAGAATAGACATGTAGATTTGAGAGGTAGGGAGTGATAGTTGAGCAAGTAGCTGATTAAATCGCAGAGTAAAAGAGGAGTAAAAGAAAACCAGTTTAAGCAAATTTTTGTTTTGGGTTTGTGTGTGTGTGTGTGTGTGTGTGTGTATGTGTGTGTGTTGCTATCAATTGGACCCAGGGTGCTACACATGCAAACACATGATGCACCCCAAATGGAGTAGTCATGTTTGGGCAAATCCCCAACCTTGTACTATTGTTTGGTATTTTACCTCTCTACCATCACACTGTGGGCTCCTTCAGAGTTAGACTGTATAAGACTTCATCCCCAGGGTTTAGCACAAGTGCTTGACCCATAGCAAGGATTCAATACATACTAACTGAATAAACTTGAGCTATGTGCATTTTATACAACCCACAGGACTCCAGATCTGTCTCCATCTACAGGAAATGCTGTGGGGTTGGCCAGCTTTTCCCTGTGTTTATTCACTAAGCACAGCACTGTGCCACACAAGGGCACTTTCCCCCAAGAACATACTGCGTACTGAGCACACTCCCCAGGTCCTCTATTCTTTTCTCCCCCCTCTCCCAAATGGTCCCCTTTGTCTCCCTGGGACATTTAACTTTTACTTTCAAGGCTATATACCATGTCACTGAAGCATGAACCAACAAGACAGATACTGATCGCTGATGCTCCGGGATTATGATTGACTAAATTCTCTCTTGTGCTCCAGCAGCTTATTGCCTATGAATAAGTGAACCCCAAAGAGTGATGGAAGAAGATGATTTTAAATAACCTACTCTATTAAAAAAGCCAATAGCGATCGATAAACCACATTGCTCCAGAATGAGAAGTAATAGCTCTCACAGGTCAATAAAGAGGACTGAAGGCAATGCTGTCTTCCATCGGGTGGCACATCTTATTTTAACTAACCATGTTGCCATGGATAAAAGGGATGTGTATCCACATAGCATACAGAAGGGATGAGGGGTCCCAGCTATCACTAGAGCTACAGAGGGACATGGGGCTCCATGGCCTCGCCTGTGTTGTGCATAGGTTATGGTAACTCCATTACAGGGGTGTCACCAGGTGAGTGAGGTTTTCAAAGGTTTACCATTGTCATGAAAAGCACAAACTTGCCGAGCAGTGGTAGCACATGCCTTTTAGTCCCAGCACTTGGGAGGCAGAGGCAGGTGGATTTCTGAGCTCGAGGCCAGCCTGGTCTACAGAGTGAGTTCCAGGACAGCCAGGGCTACACAGAGAAACCCTGTCTCGGAAAAAAAAAAAAAAAAGCAGGGCATGGTGGAATATGCCTGTAATCCCTGCACTCAGGAAGACAACAAGTTTGAGGCTAGCCTGGCCCATACAGTGGAGCCCCTACTCAGAAAAAAAAAAATCTAATAAAACATCTCTTCTAAATCACAAAAGTGCTTTAGGTAATTTCCATATAGAATCAACCAAATATATTAGGGCATAATAAAAACAGTGGCATCCTATACAACATGACAAAGAACGAGGCAAGCTTGTGTGCAATGCTCTAAAAACGCCCCCAAGACTAATCACACAAGAAACCTGTGTGTACAGTGTACTCTCATCTGCATAACACAGTCCAAGCGTGTGAAGACCAGGCTGTACACCCACTCTTAAACTCATAAATGAGACTGATTGAGAGCTCTGCTCTCCCCAGTCGCCAACTTCCCCCTCTTTCCCTGCACCCCCTCCCATCTTCCTTCTTTGTTTCTTGACAGGGTCTTGATTTGTATCTTAGGCTAACCCAAAATCCCTCTGCCTCCTGAGTGCTGGCATTACAGGCATATGCTACCACACAGTTTGAGACTTGGGTTTTGCCTACGCCCATGCCATCTTAAGTGAGCCTGGTTCAATATAACCTCAAAACCTAAGCAGAACTGAGTCTAGTTACTGATTAAGTGGGAAGATTTTGATTTTTAACTTATAGAGTTTTTTTAAAAAAATAACCTTTATTATTGAGATCAATACATGGCATATTTTTGACAATTTTACATGGGAAGAAAAATTAGAAAGGAACTGTAGCTAAATTAGGTATTACATATTGTTACTCAAGAGAAAATGAAGTCATCTAGACTAGCAGAGTGTTCTAGAAGTCATTTAAAAATATAGACAGAAAGAAAAAATAAAAAATTTTCAAGAGAAACAACTTAAGAGTAAAAACTGCGGGAGATGGTTCTGCGGGTAAAGTGCCTGCTGCCAAGGCCTGAGGGACCTGAGCGTAGATCGTCAGCACTCAAGGGAAACGCCAGATGTGGGCCTGGGTCACCAGCACCCATGTAAAAAGCTAGATGTGTTGGGTGCTTCCTGATAGGAGAGGCAGGCAGATGGTAGGGCATACTGTGTGCATCATGAGACAAGAAGGTTCAAGAGAATCTCTGTCTCAAAAACATGAAGTTGAGAGTGATTGGAAAGATTGTAGAAAGCAAATGATACCAACAGGGAGCCTCCACCACATGTGTGTGAGCACACACAGCACACACACACCATACACACATACCACACACATACATACTATACACACACATACCACACACACCACATTCACATCACACACACACCACACACACACCATACATACCACACACATACATACTACATACACACATACCACACACACTACACACACCACATACACACACCACACACAAACACCATACACTCACAT